TCCTATGATGAATATTGTCATTATGTAAATTGTACCCATAAACTTAATAATAAAAATAAAGAACACCATGTTGACAATACCATGTATAAAATGTTTGGGAACATTCGCATATAAAGATTCTTGTTAGTACATCACAACAAAATATAAATTTTCTATTGAAGTGATATTTTTCAGTGTTTATTTTATTCTTTGTGCTTTTCGTTAGTATTTTGCTATTATAAATATATCACTAAAATCACAAATTAAACTTTGTATTGAAATACTTTTGCATTTTTAACAAAAATAGATAAGAAAACAAATAAGGAATTCATTGTCACCCCAAATCCCAAGCAATAGCCAATGTTAACATTCTTTTACATTTTTCTACATAAATATGCATATTGTTATACAAATAGGCAATTAACATTTATAATATTTTATATATTTTTTTACTTTATGGTACATTATTTTTTCCAAGCTATTATGAGCCTATTTTCCCAAGCAATTATAAATCTTTTTTGTATATCTGCTAGTATTTTATCAGATAGGTGTATCAAGATCACTTAACCCATTCCCTAGAATGGGTTTCTAGAAAGTTAGTGTTTTCCAACCCTCTGCTAATGTGAGCAGCACTCAGATGACTTCCTCATAACTGAATTTTCACCAGGCTCCACTCAAAGACACAGCTTTTTCCTCAGGTGTCAGGCACAGCTCGGCTTCTCAGCCACTTCTATATCCACAAGCAAATGTTCCAAGCACAGAACCAGCCCCATCAGTTTGGCTTCCTTTTTTTAGATTCTCAGATCTGGTAATAGTAATAATTGATGAACTTATTAATTCATTGTCACTTAAAAGTTTTTTTCGTATTTTGTCCACTATTTCCAGGGTCCTTAGAGAGCCATTCCACATATAAATTTCTCATGACTGAAAATGAAACTACAGTGTTTTATTAAACCATTTATCTCTCACTTCCAATTTGAAACCCTCTGGTCCTTCGATTCAGATCCTTTCCCACTATTGACAGAATCTCTAACATGCCGTTTTGTTGCAAATCTCAGACCACATCTTGTCCCACACTGCTTTATTTTCAACAGCTCTGTCACTCTGTGGCTCTGTCTGTCCTCATTCAGGGCTGCTCTTGTTCCCAGGCCCCCTTCCTACAACAGCCTGTGGTTAGATATCCACTTACCAGCCCCTGCTTGGCATTTAGGGCCTATTCAAATACCATCTCCTTGGACAGCCTGCCCCTGACAGCCCCTTCTGAGGGAACTTCCACCCTTTTCCCCTCCAAATCACACTGCTTGGTTTGTATTTTTCTGGCTGCATTTATCCTTCTCTGCCTCTTGTTCAAATGTGTATGTTCTGCCTTCTCACGCTAGGACATAGGTTCCATGAGACTGGGCACTGTCTCTACCCTCATCTTTGTGCCATTGTATTGTCAACATCTTTAAAAAGATTTCAAGAGGCAGGATCCTCTTTCAGACATTTCCACAGGGTGCAGTGTGGGAGGCGGTATGCGAGGAAGCAGCGGGAGGGGTTCAGGAATTGCATTATGCATGCACATGTGACCTGATGACAGAGCCTGACAAGCCAGATGTCACAAGACTCTTGCTATTTCCAAGCCATACTGGTGTGATGTGACTGGTGGCAAGTCATACCTCTCTGCCTTTCACAATCTTTCAGAATGAAGGTCAGCTTTTCAAACCAGTTCATCAGCATCCAACCTCTTCCCACCAACCCACATCACACATGACCGCCAAAGAGCAGTCAGTTCTAAAAGACCAGAGTTAAAAAGGGCCAGTGAATCAGTGAACCTAGGGATTGTCATTATTAATCCTATAAGCTTAAAAGTGAATTTCAGATGCAATAGGCATTAATAGCCATTTATTTATAACCAGCTGGTTATTTATAACCAGCTAAAGGAGAGGGTTAGAGAGGTGATATCAAGAGGTGTTGGGGGTTGGAAGAAATAAAAACATCATTTAAGGCCTGGAAGGCTTTGGTTTCTATGCCCATTGGAGAGCTTTTGGTAGAAAGGTAATAAACAAATGACCCCTCACTTCCAATAGCTTGACTTATGATTTTTCAACTTTGTGATGATACAAAAGCCATACACCTTCAATGAAAACCATATTTCAGTTTTTAAAATTTTAATCTTTCCCCTATATAGCAACATATGATAAGAGTCTCCATTGTGATGCTGGGTAGCAGCAGTGAGCTGTACCTCCTGGGCAGTTAGGTACTCAGTAGGGCAAACTGATACCTACAGCACATGGTGTTGCTGGGCCATGCTACACTGTTCCATAGCTTATGTGTATTGTATGCATTTTGCCTTATATTTTCAACTTGCAATGGATTTGTCAGAACATATCCTACTGTGAGTCAAAGAATATCTGTATTCAAACTTGTTTGTAAAGCAGTAACTTCAAGGAGAACAGACAGGCAGAGGGAGAGAAGAGGTGGTGGTGTTTGAGCCAGCATTATGTGTGAGACGGTTGAGCAGCTGAAGTCTAGATATATTGAAATAATTTGCCAGTAAATTAGATGTAAGATGGGAAAGGAAGATACAAATCAAAGATAACACCAAAGTACTTAGCCTGGAAGCTGGCAAAGTGGCATTCCCTTTGTTTGGAATAGAGAATACTACAAGAGAAATAGGTATGGAATGAAGATAACAAAGTTGATTTTGGAAAGCATTAGGTTAGCATTCTGTATCAGCAGTCACAAACCACACATGGGTATTTAGTTACATTTTAATTAATTAAAACAAATAAAATGAGAAATTCAGCTCCTCTGTTGCACTCAAGTGGTCAGTACCCAGTCATCCATGGCTAGCAGCTACCATGGTGGACGTGCAGGTATAACAGTGCATTTCCATCACAGAGCGCTCTATCAGCTCCACTGATAGGACTTGAGTCTTTGCATTCTGGGCCATGTTAAGTGCTTTACATACATTTTCTTGTTAATATTTAAAAACATTCTGAGTCAATGTTTTACCTTTTGACAAAAAAATATCATAAGCATTCAGAAAAGCTAAGTAACATGTCTTAAAGACATGCAACTACCAAAGAATAGCCAGGGTTGGAGTCTACCTCCAAAGCCTAAGCACCACAGACTAGATTTTAGAAAGACTAAACTAGCTTGCAATGAGACATTCATAAGTAAATGTTTAGTAGGGATTTCTTAGTATTATATTTAAATTATATTTAAAACATCCAGGAAGCTATTGGCAGCAAAGCACTAAAGCACAGGACAGAAATCATGGTAGATTTAAGCTAAAAATGAACCTCCCAGGAGAGCCTATGTGTTCTATAGAAGTAAACATAATATATCCCCCCCTACTAGTAGTAAAGAAGAAATATAATAATCTAGATCTTTTGATGAGATGATAATTGTGAAAGTACAGATATGTAGAAAAAGTTTGACACTGGATAGCATAAAATTAGGATACTCTTGTTCTAGTCCATGGTTTTTAACTTGGCATATGATAATGTACGCTTAGAGGAAATATATGGAGTATCTGGGGTAGAACGGCGAGTGCCATAGACATTTCTTGGTCATATTCTTGGGGGTAAGAGTTCTGTGATGCTTGCCACAATCCAAATATCAAAACATCAACAGCTAGGCCTGCTGTTCCTCACACAACATCCGCAACCCATAAACTGATACAGTATGGACTTTAAAACACAATAGGTGGTGACACAGGTTGTCAGGTAACTGATGTTTCTGTCTGTCCTATTACTTGTACTTGCTTCTTGGTTTAGTATTACCTAAACTGAGGCTTAATTTCCTCACCTATATAATAAGGAAAACCCTAGTTAATATAGATCATTTAGAATGGTTCCGAGATCACAAAATATTTCAAGGAATTGGCTCCATGTTCAGTTCAGGAAGAATGACAAACACTATTAGAAAAAGTAGAGGGAACCCTAGCATTGACTCTAAAAACAGCAAGATGGTAATTCATACAAAAAGGGAAATTAAAACAGCATTCAGTAAAATACGAATGCAAAAATATAAGCACATGCAATTGCTCAATTTTCTCCTAGCCAGTTAAAAAGATTAGAAATAGGGTAAAACTCTAACATATAATTAATGAGCTATATTCAAAAAATTTAACTTGTAATCAATATTTTTAAAAAATTGAATATTTTACTTTTCACACCAAGTCTTTGCAATCTCATGCATACTTCTCAGCTTTGACATGCAGCACAGGAAGATGGTTTTAGAAACGTCTGGACTAGCACATTTACAGGCTTTAGTCTCGAGGTCTCTGTACAAACTAAAAAGAGGCATGTTGTGGAATGATTAAATATATTGAGTGGTCAGAACAAGACATGATTTCACAATCCAGTTCTACTACTCCCATGTCCTTGAACAAGCCAGCTAATCAAATACCCATTCTTATTTGCAGATAAAACAGGACCAGCCCCTCTACTGTTGCACTGAGGGTCGTGAATATGAAGTGTTAGCTCAGTGCCTACAACCTATTTCTCAAGTGTGAGTGGATATTTGTATTTGGGTCTGGGAAATGGAACAGAAGTTTTTCATTTATTTTGATGTTGTTGTTTGTAATTCTGGGGTTTCTAGTTGCAGAATTCCTAAACACTAGTAATAAGCACACTGTGTGAAGTATGACTAGGTCAACATGGTAATTTACTCTCATCTATATTTAAATTATAAAGCTTATGCAGCTACCTTTCAGTGAGAAGTCTCTACCAGGAATTTAAAATCCTTAGTGCGATACGATGTTCAGATACGATACAGCAGTGATGGTGAACCTTTTAGAACTTTCAATGATATAAACAGCCCACTGAGGCATGCATGCCATAGGTTTACCACCACTGCTATAGAATAAATTAAATGACCGGTACCCCATTTGCTGTATGAATAGCTTTACATATAAATCACTAGGATATAATCTCAATATAGTAGCCTCAAGAGTATCCAGAATTTATTAAATTCCTAGTTATTTAAGTGCATCACTAACTTCCTGCAACATTAAAGAATATGTACAAGGCTTATTAGCATAAACACATTTATTTATTTATTTATTTATTTATTAACCAAAGAGATGAACCTGGTTAAATCAATACTTTGAAATAGTTGCATGTAAAATGCTTGTGATAAAGGTACTTGACCAAAGTAATGACAAAAAAAAAAAAAGTATGGAGAATTGCTCATTGAACTGAGCTTATTCATTCTCAAAGCTAATTCTTGTCCAAGTGATGATGGAGTATTTATTCCACTTTTTCATAGACCCGAGTACAGGTGACATTGTTCATGACACAGACCTAGGAGAAAAGAAAAGATATCAGAGTTAGATCAGGTGGTTAATTAATAAAATGTTAGGAACAGAATCTTACAAACCTTGTCATCTACTTCATGGATGGAGAAAACAAATTATAGGATTTCTGGGTTTGAGATAAGCTAGATCCTATTGTTTTGATGAAAACCAAAGTGTTACAGTAATGTCTACAATTACTTATTTGGTCTTGGCAAATTTATTTATTTGAAAGAAATGGAAAAATGCATATATGCCCAAGAGGGCAGCTTCCAGGATCACACGGCAACGCAGGAGCTCAATAAGGACAAAGCCCAGCTCCAGCAACATCCTTGGCTACATTAGCAAGGGCTGCCTTGCTAATGAGTGTTCTTGTATTTTTTTTATTCTGTATTTTATCCTTCCAAACCTAGTTCTGTTCATAACCAATAGTAGAAGATAGCTATTGGACCATTAATGCAGGCAAAAAGCCCAGTAAGACAGAAGCAGTTTGATACTTACCACAACTAACTTTCCATCCTGCAATTTCCTGGTGATTGTGCTTTCCTTCCCATCCCACTCCTGGTGCTGAACCAACGCACCATCCGTAAAGTTGCAGACCGTCTGCGAAAATAAAGTGTACCTTTAACCTTCCAAAGGACATTACAAGCATTTCCAGAACTCAGAGCCTCTGTAGTCAGTATTTTTTCCATCCTCTCTCTTCTGGGTCTACTTTATCAATCACACTGATTTTATTCACAAAATAACTTGTGCTTTTCAATCTAGAAGCTCAAAAAAAGATACTTATTCTGTGAAGCAGGCTTTTTTACTAGTCTGCCAAAACTCAACTCATAAAATAACTTTTCATTAAGTTTTTGACTAGAAATAATAAAAATTTTATAATGCAATCTATCATCCTAGAAGCTTCAGTGATTACACAATGTGGGATAGCTGACCTGAGTTTTTCGGCCATCAGCTGTAGTTTCTTCAAACTTCTCTCCCAGGTTACAAGAAAACTGTGTTGTTTTCAGAGTGCTCTCAGTTTTAACGGTGAGGTGGTTGCCGTCACAAGTGATGATACAATCTGGCTTGGCCACTGCACCCATTTTTCTCATAGCTACTCCCACTCCTGTGGAACGGTATATCATGTTAAATGGGAAACAGGTTGTAACTTACACAATAATAGCAGTAACTCAACTGTAATCACTATGCCTGGTGTATTTTCACTTATTTGCTTGCAGGACCTTTATGTATATTAATTTATATAAGCCGCACAACAATCCTGAGCCAGGTATATTACTGCCTCCGCTGGAGATGAGAAAGGCACTGGAGTGAAGTGGCTCAAGTTCAGTGTGCTAGGAAACAACAGCACAGACTAGCAGTCTTCAGATCTCAGCTCGTGACTACTATGCCATGCTGGCCTTGAGAAAGCCAGGGAAACTTCACTCCCTAACATTATTTACCCAAAGCAGTTGACACAAGCTAAAGATAAGGGTTCAAAGTTGCAAACTCAGAGGTAGCTCAGTCTTTTTCTATACACTAGATTCTGCATACCACTGTATTCTAATTCTGATACCCAGCCTCACATAAGAAGCCCCTGATAAATAATTAATAGGCAATAGGCTACACAAAGTAAAAACCAACCCCCATTATGCAGATAGTCAAATAGCACACAATGTTTTGAGTTTGTAGCACAATCGCGATCTTAATAAATGGAAATACTCTTACCCTGGAAGAGAGAAAATATTTCAAAGCTGCATATTTTTTTTAAAGTTTTGAAACAAGGTTTATAGCCTTGAACTTAGTAGACAGCCCATACTGGCCTCAAACACACAGTAATCCTCCTGCCTCAGCCTCCTGAATGCCAGGATTACAGGTATGGATCACCACACCCAACTACTATTTTGCATTTTTCTGAGTAAGACTTTTTTTTTCCTACTTACTGTCACTGGGGTTGTTCACTGCTTACTCAAAATATAGTCTATCTAAATATCTTGATTAATACTTTTTTACAGTCTATTCATTACTATCGCAAACAGCTATGGAATTCCACATTATTAAATTACATATTAATTTATGATCTGTGTATTTCCTTTTGTGTCAATACTTATAGGGATTGCAGATCCAGCATAAACCCGTTTCACAAGTGAGACTACAACCTACAGAAGGACTGTCCTGGTCAGAACACTCAGCCAAGCTTTCAATGTCCCTTTGGTGGATTCTCTCTTGCCAACTTGGTACACCTTTCTTATCAGTTGAGTCATTATTTACTTTTACACTGGGCAAATATGGTGATCCTTCCTCAAAAGAGTTGAGGCTAGACAACCTTCCTGATTCCAGAACTCTTGAAACAAGCCATCCTGACCTAAGCCCACAACTGCACTCAGTGGGAAGAAAGGCTGTTCTCTACTTGGTCCTTACCTGTGTAGTACACAAACCGTATGTCTCCAATGAGTACAGTAAATGGCTTTCTTCAGAGTCATCTTGGTCACTTAAAAAATACTCTTAAAAAAATGCTGCATTTTTCGTTCTACTGGTCCCATGGTAACACACTCAATTTCACCACGTGTCAGCCCTAACCCCACAAAGTCTTAGAAAAAGGCTAGTGAAGAAGTGAAGTACCCAGTGACAGGGTCTCAGTAGTGGAGGGCCATCAGAGAGCAGTCAGGTTAACCTCTCTGAGATGCCAGCTTTTGAAGTGGCCTTCCCCTCCTGGGAGTTCCTCGGTGTTGAAAACCCCCTTGGGGTGAGGATCCATGCTATGTTAACTTTATCTTACTTTCTTGGGGTCTGTGCCAAAAGTCCACTCTTGTTTGCTATCTGTCCAGTGTCTCAACCAGCATGCAATCGCGGTACTGATTTAGGAAAAGACCACAGAACTTATGATTTAAAGTTTAAAAAAAAAAAAAACCTACAGAAAAATTTCCTACAGAAATTCTCCTGCGTTAGCAGCCCCAAGCCAGCAATTTCTGGCTAGTTTTTCGTCCAAGCCCGCTGTCTCCTTGCCCCTCACCCTCCAGTGTCAGAGGAAAGCAGAGCAGCACACAGAGAGCAGATGACCCCAGGCAGGGTCCGTCTCGCTGCTCTCCTCACTGTTCAGTTGCCCCTGCAGGGCCAGGCTGGGCAGTGCCAGCAGGCGGTCAGTGCTGTGAGCACCACGCTGGGCTAAGAAGCTCCAGTGCTCCAAGTCGGAGCTCACCCCGTGGGAACAGGCAAGGGACCAGTGGGAACACAAGCTGCAGCCCGAAGAGCTACAGGAGACCTCACCCTGCCATATGCGCCCTCCTGGAGACTGCAAGAGGGCCGTGCGCGCCGGCTAGTAACAAAGGACATGGCCGGGTGGGCAAGGGGAGTGGGTCGGGTGGGAGGAAGAGCGGCTCGGGGCCGGGCGAGGATAAGCTCGCTTAAGGGCGGAAGCAAAGCGGGGCGCCGCGCGCTCAAGAGGCGAGTGCGGCTGGACCACGAGGCAGAACATCCCGTCTCGTGGCGGGAGGCGAGCACGCTCTGCTCTACCGGCGACTGCCGCGTGCTCGCTGCACTGCACCCGGGAACCTATGGTGCAGGGACGGTGCAAGGAGGGGACAGGGCGCAGGGAGCCGGGCATCACCGCCGCGCACGCCCCGGACCCCAGCACGCCGTTGTAGCCAAGGGACAAAAGGGCCACAGGCGGCCACGTTGCAGGAGCTACCGAGCGAGGTGCCTCACCTAACTCCTTCATGTAGTCCTCAAAGCCTTTGCTGTCCACCAGACGCCATTTTCCTACCAGCTGCTGAATGGTGGCCATAGTGGGTGCGGGCGAGCGGGCGCGCGAGCACAGACAGCAGAGCGGTGTGTAGTAGCCGGCAGCGTGCTGTGCGGCTCCCCGCGCCTGGCCGCTCTATAAAGGCAGTGGCGTGGGGCGGTGCTGGGCAGCCAATGGGAGGGGCCCGTTAGGCCCCGCCCCTGCCACGCCCCCTCGGCCCTCGGGTTGGGCTAGCGGGTCCAGAGGTGCGAACCGGCTCCACCTGCTTGCCTCCCGGGGCGCCTCCCGCAAGCTTGGATTCGCCCGGCGCGCCCCAAGCCGCCCCGGACGCCAGCCGCTTCCCGATCCGGCGCCTCCGTGCGCCCAGAGGCCTGAGGGACCATCCGGAGCACCGCCCTATACCACAGCGCGGGACCGCTCAGCCACCCCCGTCTTTTTCCGTTTCCAGAGGACTCAATTAGCCATCTCTAGGAGCGGTCGGCAGTTTAGTGGGTTGTTTGAAGTCTAAATTGCCTTAACTCCTTTTTTTTTAAATTAAATTGCTGAATTACGCAGGCTAAGTTTGATTTAGTGAACTTCCCTCTAGGTTTACAAGCCTGTGCCACCACCCTGGCTTCCCACGCCCTGTTGAAAGAACCTGCTCACTCCACCCACCCTCAGGTTGCCCAGGCCTCGGTAGGGCTTCCAGGAGATGCAGACCTGAGCCAAGCTAGCCGATTTTATCAGAAACTGCTAGATGAGGTGGAGATGACTCAGGAAATTCAGTTTCTAAACAGAAATTCTGTAGGAAGTTTCGGTTTAAGTGACATTCAAAAATGTCAAGTTATATTTCCTTGTAGGGAAGTGAAAAAAATGCTTGCCTTTACCCTTTTAGGTTCTTTTAGGCTTTGAGTTAAATTAACATAAAACTCAATAAAGGGAAAGAAATTATCACATTGATGTACAAAGGAATCCCACAAAATGCAAGGCTTCAAGGAGAGTCAGATAACTGAAGTTTAGAGAACATCCTGTGTTGTGGAAATGGGTTTGAAGCTTCTGGGGGTATTGGAGACACACGTCAAGGGATGGTGCCAGGAGAAAAGTGTAGTGAATACAGGCTATCTCGTATGCAGAGTAAGATTTAGAGAACAAAGCCAGTTAATAAAAGCATATTCATACAGCCATTCTATTTTTAATAAATTACATAAGATAATCCACACCTTGTTATCAAGTTGCCTTTGTATTAGAGGAGTTTGCTCCACCACAGGCTAATGTAAATTTCTGAGCACATTTAAGGGAGGCAAGGCTAAGCCAGAATGTTCTGTAGACTAGATGTATTACACACCCTTTTAACTTACCAGATTTTCAATTTACGGTGAATTTATCCAGAGAAAAACCCATCCTAATTCAAGGAACATCTGTACTTTAATAGTGTACATTTCCTCTATATATGTAAGTTTCTTTTGCAAAAGAACACTGCTCCCGTGCCTGCAGTTTCTCAGGAAAACCAGCTTAAATATGCCAAAGAAGTATATTTTGAGTGGCATATTTGGTTTCCTACAGTTATGCTTTGGGGTGTTGTGTCCTGAGCCTCAATACCCCTCTGACTGAGCACTTAAGGATTTCTTGTCAGTTTCCTTTGTATTTAGATTCAAGTGCGTTTCCTTTTTCCTTCCAACCCTAATAGCACTCTATACTCGTGTGTAAAGCATTATACTTTTCCCAGTATCTTACTCTGTGTTCCCATCTGCGAGATGGGATAAATGAGGAAGTTGCCCCACAGCCCGGCTGTTCTCATAAAGACACCAGTTTACTGAGCAGCTTTTGTACGTTAGATTCTATGTTTCCAGGTGCTCATGTCCATTAACACTAATACCCACTACACTTTCACTAAGGAATACTTATCCCAGTTTTTCAGAAGCAATAAGTTAAGGGAAGTGGTAGAACCAGAATCTCTAGCAAGCCCTTCTCACACAGCACCTTGTGAAATAGAACCACACCTGACTGCCTTTTGTTTACTGTCCTTGAAATGGAGTTGAGAGCAGAGGCCACAGTGAACATGCCAAGACACTTGATGTATCATCCTTAAAATGATTGAAATCTGAGGTTGGTTTGAGATCTCCCAGGATGCCACGGGACATTTCCTCCCCTGCACTGCAGCCCTTTTATTAGAAGTTCCTACCCTAATATTCGGATCACCCCAATCTTCCCTGTAGCGGCAGGTACATATTGAGCGACTCAGACCCATACGGTTGTCCCAGTAAGGGCCTGCATGTCCCACACCTGGGACACTCCTGCCCCGCAGGAGGAAGCAGGAGAAAGCTCAGTGGATCATGTCTCCAGTGTAACAAAGGCGGCTGTGGAGATCGCTGTAGAATTCTAGAAACACATTGAATGCCTTTTATTCAGATGCCTCATCTATGATCTAGTGTCTACACACACATACACCGTTATTGTCCAACTGTTCTGTTCTATCCTGTCTTACAAATATTAGTTAACTCTGCTAGTCATTTTTTCATAACAGCAAATAGGTAATATCAGCATCCCATTGCCATTATTTTTAAGAACATATTCCAAATGTAAGAGTTTAAGGGCATTAGAAATAACCTACTTCAGTCATATAGATAGTTGAAGAGATATCTATATCTAGAGATAGAGATATATACATTTCAAGCTTATCTCCTTACCTTGCTAATTAAACCTCTATTTTGGGTTACTTAATTTGAACCAAATATGAAGTCTAAAAACCATAATAAACATAAAAATAAATCTAGTTAAAGACTCAAATGTCTTTTTTTTTTTTTTTAAATCAGTACGGGGGATGGAACACATGACCAAGTCAAATGTCTTTACGGAGATTTCTTCATTGGAAAAATAGAGGAAATTCCCACCTGATTGTAATTAATTACAGATTAAGAACAATGAGCAACAGGTTTATCTTAGCATATTTTTACAAACATTAGTAACTAATAACTACAATTACTACTAGGCACAAATATTATTAACTATTTAGTAACAGCTCATAGGTAATACACGTAATATATCTTCCCTCATGCTGGAAGATAGCAACACATTTTTCTTATATATGAAAATGACTGAAGAATCAAGTATGACCAGCAACTCTTCCTCTAGCATCTTTAGATTCTATTTTATAAGACAGATGCAATTTACTTAACGTAAGTAGATAGTAGTTTTATTACCTCTGAAGTTAAGGAGATAAGGATTAGACTGACTGATTTCTTTGATCCTTTTAAGTTTATCAAATACTCCAGCAGTCACAGTTCATGTCCCTGGAAAACTGTACTCAAACTTACTCTATTTCCACCTAGTGGTGAAAACGTATTTCTCAGATCTCTTTCATAAATGTTTAGTCATCTGTCAGCTTCACATGCCACAATCATACACATAGCTTTGGAGCACACTGTATAATTTTATTTAAGGACAATCTCCCACTTACAATTTATGTAGATGAATGTCTGCCAAGTTGATTTTAGTATATAATTTTGCCTGAAGACAGCAAATGCTAGTGGCCTAAAAGCAAAAAATTAGAAAAAAGACAACATCACTTGATAAATCATTGCAGAGAATTTTCAAAGTAATTCACATAGTTAACTCTTCTCTAAGTATTTGACCAAATTAATCAAAAAGGTGGAGCAGAGAGAGCACTAGAAAGTGGTAGAACTCCCACTTTTAACATGCCAACAAATCACCTGAGGATCTTGTTAAGCTCCATGTGTGGGTCCAGGAGGTCCAGAGTGTGACCCAAACCCATGCATTTCTAATGCACTCCCAGGTGATACTGGTACTATGGGTCTAAGGACCATGCTTGGAATGACACGGTTATAAAATATTCACGCCTCCATACATGACCTCATCACAAAGAGGTAACTCTCACTTTAGTGAGAGTTTAGTCGTGTCTTGATTGTCACCGGGTCCTCTGATATACAGCCAGATCCTACCATGACAATGGCAGATATGGCCAAGTCTTCACAAAGAGGGATGATAAAGACCTTGGCTGAGGGTCAAATCTTAAGAGTAACACAGAAAGTATGATGTATTATCTATCGAACCATATTAGATAGCATTTTCTAAAAAATACTATTAACTCTAGACACCCTCAGAGCATAGCTGAGGCTCCGAATGTTCTTTTTTCCCCTATAAGTTACCAGAAGTGAGAACGCTTGTGTTGTAGAGTGCAACACACAGTGACCATCTCCCAGTTGAAAGCAGGCAGGTCTGGGTTGGTTTGTTGACCTGGTATAATCACAAATAGTGCCCCTTTTTCCTTCATACATTTCAAATTGAATGACGTTGAGTGATGAGTTATTTAATTTCATTCTCACCTACTAGGAAGCTCCAAAGTCTAAATTTCTAGTAACAGATTAACATGAAACTTTAGTGTCTTCAACAGAGAACTCAAAGTTTGCCTTACAAAAGAAGTAAATGTCGTAGGGTTGTGCTAAGACTTTCCTGGCTTACATGGCATTAAATAAATATGCTGGACTTCTCTCCAGCTTACAAAGGAAGAGCGAGTAGAGCTGTCTGCACCTAACATGTTCCTCTGATTTAAGTCAACCTACATTTTTAGATCACCTAGTAATTATGGAGCATGAGCTAGTCTTTGTGTTCACATAGTTTGGTACTTCAGACTCTGTCTGCTTTTTAAAAAGACCTTCATTTTAAATAAATGCATTTAAAATAACACTTATTTTAAAATCTATTTTCTTTTAGTATAACAAGTTCTTAAAATTCCCAAGTATTAAAAATCTGAAATTTTCAGGTAACAGCTTCTCTCAAGTTTGCCATATCTCATTTTATCTTTGTTTTTGTTTTTTCTCTTAAAAAAGCACATAATTTTATTTGGGATGATGAAGGTTTTTAAATCACCATTTGCTAATTTAAAGTTTGTATTTGTTGCTTTCTATATGAATAATAATTTTTATTTTATTTTATTTTTCAATGGTTTCACAGTTCATATGGTTTACTGTTAGAATGATAATCTTTAAAATTAAAATAATCTTTAAAATCTTTACTGATAGAATGTAATCTTTAAAATTACTTTTCATAATCTTTAAAATGGGCAGAATTAGAAAAAACTTAACTCATCGTAATTTGC